TGTGACCTGTTTACATATTTTTGTAAAATGTGTTTTTTATGCAAGCGTGAGTTTGAAAGGGATAACGAGATGCTACGTCGAAGTTTCTCCCATTTCCTGATCAATATTAGAAGACTGGATATAAGGATCACATTAAAACAAAGCATTGTATATTGTGAGATGGGCTATGAAATAAGAGATAAGATTGATATGTAAAAAGGTAAAAGACCAAAAATTAAATTTATTAATGATATAGAGGTGATGTTATACAAGTTAGTATTCTATGATATGTAAATGATAGAATGTCCGTACATGATCATTGCGGGACTCATTGTTGCAATGGATGATTGATTTATCCCAAGTTCATTATATATAATTTAATAAGTTAAAGTTTTCTTAAATCGTAAATCGTAAAATTTGATCGATTTGTTGATATTTAAGATTTATTTGAACATTTGAATCGGCATAGGTATGAATAAATTGGATCGTAAGATTTGAATCGTAAGTCATAAGATTTTTAGCTCGGTGTTGCGAATTTTCGTAAATGAGTCGCACGCGATTACAGCAGAGGAGGAGTCGAAGCATGTTGCGTTGATGGGGAATATTTCGGATATTGCAAGGGAGATCCACTTTGGGGTTAAATTTGCAATTTGGGTGGAGCAGGTGGGAAGATGGAGTAAGTATAGGGGTGATTTTGCAATTTTCAGAACTGTTTCAGTCAAGGAGGTGGGTTTCGAGAAATTAAAAATTAACCCCCACTTGGGGGGCATTAACGGTTCAGGGACAAAAATAAAAAATGTTATATAATACATGGGCCAAAACTGTAAATATCCAAAGTTTATTATAACTAATATAGTAAATTAAAGTTTTCTTAAATCGTAAATCATAAAATTTGATAGATTTGTTGGTATTGAAGATTTATTTTAACATTTGAATCGACCTAGGTATGAATGAAATAAATCATACAATTTGAATCTTAAATCATAAGATTTTAGGCTCGGTATTGCATTTTTTTTTAAATGAGTCACACATGGTTATAGCCGAGGAGTCGAAGCATGCCGCGTTGGTGGCGGATATTTCGGATATTGCTAGAGAGATCCACTTTGGGGTCAAATTTGCAATTTGGGTAGAGCAGCCGGGAAGATGGAGTAAGTATAGGGGTGATTCTGCAGTTTTCAGAACTTTTTCGGGCAGAGATGTGGATTTCTAGAAATTACAAATTGACCCGGACATGGGGCGCATTTCTGGTTTAAGAACAAAAATACAAAATGGTATATAATATAGGGACCAAAACTATAATTATCACAAGTTTTTGATAAATAATATAATAAATTAAATAAAATGTTTCTTAAATCGTAAATCGTAAAAATTGATCAATTTGCTGGTATTTAAGATTTATTTTAACATTTGAATGACCTTATGTGAGAATGAATTGAGTCGTGAATCATAAGATTTTAAGCTCGGGATTGCGAATTTCCTAAAGGAGTCACACGCGATTACAGCCGAGGAGGAGTCGAAGCATGCTGCGTTGGTGGCGGATATTTTGGGTATTGCAAGAGAGATCCACTTTGGGGTCAAGTTTGCTATTTGTGTGGAGCGGATGGGAAAATGGAGTAAGTATAGGGGTGATCCTGTAATTTTCAGAAATGTTTCAGCCAAGGAGGTGTATTTTCGTAAATTACAAATTGACCCCCATTTGTGGGGAATTGCCGGTTTAAGGACCAAACTTCGAAATTGTATATAGTATATGGACCAAAACTATAATTATCCCAACTTTATTAAAAATAATATAATAAATTACAGTTTTCTTAAATCGTAGATCGTAATATTTGATTGATTTGTCGATATTTAAGATTGATTTTAACTTTTAGATAGGTATAAATGAATTGAATCGTAAGATTTGTATCGTAAATCATAAGATTTTAAGGTCGGTATTGCAAATTTTCGCAAACGGGTCACAGGTGATTACATCTGAGGAGGATTCGAAGCATGTTGCGTTGTTGGTGGATATTTCGAATAATTCAAGAGAGATCCACTTTGGGGCCAAATTTGCAATTTGGGTGGAGCGGAAGATGTAGTAAGTACAGGGGTGATTCTGCAATTTTCAGAACTGTTTCAGCAAGGAGGTGGATTTCCATAAATTACTGATTGACCCCCACTTGGGGGGCATTTCCGGTTTAAGGACCAGATTAAAACTGGTGTATAATATAGGGACCCAATCAGTAATCATCCCAAGTTTATTATAAATATTATAATAAATTAAAGGTTTCTTAAATCGTAAATCGTAAAATTTGATCGATTTGTGCTATTGAAGATTTATTTTAGCTTTTGATTCAACTTAGGTATGAATGAAATGAATCGTACGATTTGAAGCTTAAATTAGTATTGCGAATTTTCGTAAATGAGTCACACGTGATTACAGCCGAGGAGGAGTCGAAGCATGTTGCTTTTGTGGCGGATATTTCGGATATTGCAAGAGAGATCCACTTTGGGGTTAAATTTGCAATTTTGGTGAAGCTGGTGGGAAGATGGATTAAGTATAGAGGTAATTTTGCAAATTTCAGAACTGTTCAGTCAGTGAGGTGGGTTTCAAGAAATTACAAATTGACCCCCACTTGGGGGGCATTACCGGTTTAGGGACAAAAATTTCAAATGGTATATAATACAGGGGCCGAAATTGTAAATATCCGAAGTTTATTATAAATAATATAATAAATTAAAGTTTTCTTAAATCGTAAATCGTAAAATTTGATAGATTTGTTGGTATTGAAGATTTATTTCAATATTTGACCCGACCTAGGTATGAATGAAATAAATCGTACGATTTGAATTTTAAATCATAAGATTTTAGGCTCGGTATTGCGATTTTTTGTAAATGAGTCAGACATTGTTACAGCCGAGGAGGAGTCGAAGCCGGCTGCGTTGGTGGCGGATATTTCCGATATTGCAAGAGAGATCCACTTTGGGGTCAAATTTGTAAGGTGGGTAGAGCGGCAGGGAAGATGGAGTAAGTATATGGGTGATTCTGCAATTTTCAGAACTTTTTCAGGTAGGGTGGTGGATTTCTAGATATTACAAATTGACCCCACATAGGGTGCATT